ATATTGATCCAAAAAATCCATTTGGAGGTCACTTGTGTTTCAGTTCAATATCGAAACATTTTCAGAAATGCATATTTTATAAGAACTTTACTTACATCATAACATTTTACTGGAAAATCTAAATGGCTACTTTCGGCCATGTGTGTCCAAAGGTCTTGAAATCAGGAAATACAGTGTTCAGACAGAAAGGGTGGGGTTCTGCTTGTCCCCCACCACACTGCATGACGTCTCCACTCCAAGCCACATACATAGTCAGTTGCTAAAGGGACACAGTAAAGAAAAGGTCCCTCAGCATCCCATACTCAGTGTTTATGAACTGAACTCACAAGCTCCTGTCCCATCCCAGGTGGCCTCCTGACGCCCCTACCCCAGCCATTGTCAGCCCTGCTGTTGTACTGGCTCCTCCTGAGTGTGACTCCTGGATATTGTGGTGCTTGCCCAGTCCTTTGTACACACACAATGGCCTCCTCTGTAGCCTTCCTGTTTCCTTCCTTCCCCTTAAAATCTTTTCCATATCACTGTCAGAGTAGAGGAGTGTCCCAAAGCTGCCATCAGCTCAGGTCACCAACGTGTGTCGTGGCTTGTTTGTAGGGAACAAAAACAATAACATGTAGCAGTCTGTAAGATCCACTCCCAGCTGCCTATCTCATCACACGCGCGCGCGCACGCGCACACACACACACACGTCTGAATAGTAGCTGCTTGTTCCGCCACATTCACTAAGCCCAGACTTCCAGTCTGCAGTCCCTTCATTCTGTGCCTTTCAGTATGTGGCCACTCCCAGCTGGAATGTCCTTGGTATCTTCTTTTCTCCACATTTGTTCAAAGGTAACCAGCTCTTTCCCATCACCTTTCCCAGTCCTCCTGGGTACCACTTCTGGGGATAACTGCGGGCTTGGAAGCAGTTCCCTGACCCCAGGCAGAACTCTAGGTGTGTCTCATACAGCTATATCCAATCCAAATCTAGTTTCCCCAGATGGAGAAGCTCATGCTCTTGCCTAACCTCCAGGCTCCAGCACAATAATTAGCAGCTAAATGAGAGTGTTATGTAGGTATCACTAATAACAGCAAAGCAAATGGGAACCAGCAACATCAGCTCCTGGCACAGTTAAGATGCTTTTCATTGTCTGGTGTTGAGGGGAAGAGAATGCCTTGTTAGGTCAACTAATCTAATAAGCAGAGGAAAGGAATGTTCTCATGAAATTATGCATCCACCTTCTGCTCCCATTTGCTGATGGAGAGCCATCTAATTTGATTTTCTCTTTGGGTAAAAATACAAGATTGTTGCTGTCATATTACCAATACATCCATTGTCCATCTGCCCCTCTCTGTTTTCTCCAGGGGCCTTTGACTTCCAGCCACTTCTAAATTAGATATGCATCTTAGAACACTCTAAGATCTAGCACCTGCTCAGTTTCATCAAATGCACTGAGCAGGGAGATGGGATGTGAGACATCCAGGAGGGAGGGGAGAATCCTGGCCATGAGGGAGGGAGCTGCTGTGCATTTCTCAGATTGGCTCTTGCATCTGTGCATTTATTTATCCCTATTACACCCCGCACACATTTCTCCACTGTTTCACGTGATACCTGTCACATGTGCTCAGCAGATAAAACCTGACCAGCTTGGAAGCACTGGCGACACCACAAGACACAAAAGCACTAACTGTGCGGGGATCAGTTAAGACCATTTGTTATTCTTGCAGAAGAATTCAGTTCCTAGCACCCACATGCTGTCTTACAACCTTCCATTGCCCCACCGCCAGGGAATTTGATGGTATCTTCTAACATCTGCAGGCATGTAACATGATAGATAAAAGACCCAGAGACAGATATTGGGGTTCAAACTTCAAACTGAAGATCAGAAAAAGCAAAGCAGCGAGCCATGACTTCACTGCTCCTCAGATTCACTCAGACTGTTACGCTCTCCTCAATGTGGATAGAGACTAACTCTTAGAATGCTGCCCTGTCCTCAATGTGCCTGGAGAATGAATGCCAGCTCCGAGACCCTATTCCTGTCTTAACTGCCTTTTATGAGCCCTAGGATTAAAGGACTTTGATCCCAAGTGTTGAGATAATCTTAGTGTGAGCTGTTTCTCTTTAGGACTGGATCGATTTCATGTAGCTCAGTATGGCCTTGAACTAACAGAGATCTGTCTACCTCTTAACCCTGAGTCCTGGGATTAAAGGTGTATCCCTGGCTTCTAGGACTTGTGGCTGACTGCTTTCTGAATCCTCAGGCAAGCTTTAGTAAATCATAGATAATATATCACCACACAGGCATCCATGTGATACACAGACATACATTCAACAAAACTACTCATACACATAAAATAAAAATAAATAACCTTTTCTTAAAGTTCAGTCTTGGGTGTGACTTTACACAGGTCACCTGAACTCCCTTGTAGCTCCAGTTTTGGGTTTTCTTGGTTTGTTTGTTTGCTTGCTTGCTTACTTGTTTTGTTTTATTTTTAAATTGCTATTAAAAACAGTGTCCAGAGCTAAAGACAAGTTTGGTGACACATGTCTGTTCTCTCAGAGACTGAACCAGGATCTGGAGTTCAAAGCCAGACTGGGCCTCTCTCAAGAGACAGAAAACAAAGAAACAAACAAAAGTAATAGCAGACATCCCCCCCCCGCTAGCTATTACCGAGATTTAAATGAGATGGCACAGGCAAAGTGGATGCCTGTCTCAAAGGAAGGGCTCAACAGACCGAGACTGCTGCAGAAAACCACAACCAATCAAAAGGCAGAGTTGTGGAGCCCAGTCCAATCCAATGGATGCATCTACAAAAGACTCCCAGACCTAACTAAGGCTTAGGCAACTTTGTGGAAGAGGCGGCGGACAGTCTGTAAGATCCAGAAAGGATCAGGGAGTTTGCTATGAGATTGTGTCTCCTTGCAATGTCAGAAGCTACACCCATGAAGTCTCACCAACATGACTACTCAACACGAGCAGGACGACACCAGCGAACATGCCAAAGTGAAGGCGGGAAGAGAAAAATGTGGCCTCAACGCTACATAAAGAATTGTGACTGAGGAAAGCCGGGAGCAGGAGAGGTAGTCCTCCCCAGGGAAGAGCACAACGAGTGACTGTCCAATGCCAAACAGCCAGCCCTGAGAACATACACACAAGTAACACTATATGGAACGTATATGTATATACATATGTGCATGCAGTAACAATTAGTGAAAAACAGAGACCATGAATTTGAAGGAGTGTGGGGTGGGCCTATAAGAGGGTTTGGGGGAAGAAAAGGGAAATGCTATAATTAAATTATAATCTCAAAAAATTAAAAAAAGGAAGTGCTTGGCAGAATTTTACTAGCTTGGGAAGGAGAAGGCTGTGTGCTGTGTGGGCGGTCTGCACCATTGGAAACACAATGGTGAATGAGTATCCCCTATGGCTTACATTCTTGAGAGCAAAGAGAGGCAAAGTGTAAACAGATAAAATAAACCAAAGAGGAATGCTGTACAGGAAACCAAAAGGCTCTGCCGTGGGTAACCGTGAAGGGGCTACTTCAGATTCTACATCAGAGGAGGGGCCCCCTGGGAAGACAGCATTTACACTAAGAAGGGTGAAAAGAAGTCAGCCACATGACATACCATGCAAAGAACACTCCAGACACAGGATATGGTAAATGCAAAAGCCCTTGGTGGAATGTTCTAGAACCATCCAGGGACTAGTGGTGGCAGAGGAAGTGTGAACCCGAGGAGAGATTACTCCTGGTAGAAAGCAGAGAGGAGACAGGAGTGCCATAGCTACCCAGACCACCCACACCAGGGTCTGCTCAGAGACACATGACAGGAAGAAGCAGGCCATCTCCTCCAATGCACCTCTGGTGACTGGAGATTTGAAACCACTCTGGACTCCACTGCCCCAACAGATGAAATCATATTCTGTTCATGGCCTTTCTTGCCCTATACAACCTAGCTTCCTGATTCCACATCTTCAGGTAGTCTGTAGTGAACATCTTCAGCCTGAGAGTTCCCCCGCCTCTACCCACTCTGATGTGCATCAGGCTTTTCCTGTCTCTGTTACGGCACAGTGGTGTCTGTCTTCTTGATCCTCTACCTACTGCACATTGGTTCACAGGAATACAGCTCTCCTACTCTGAAACAGTCCCCTCTGTCACCCTACCAGGCTGTAGCATCCTCAAGAGCAGAAACTGGTCTAATTATCTTTGTGACCAGCAGCTAAAAACAGCACAGAGTGGGTATATGGGAAAACTTTCCTGCATTGCATTGAGCAGAATGAAATAGGCCACATCATCTCAGGCTACAAAATCATTTAAAACCACCTAGCCTAAGCTCTGGCGACTGTCATAGTTTTAGTTGGGTCACAAAGAGCTTTCCTGAATTTAGCTTATCTTAGAAATTCAGGTTTTCAGTATGTCCAAATCATTTTTTTTGTTGTTCATACCTATATCACTTTCACCATTTCATCATTGTTTTGACCTCTCCTGTGACATTTCTATATTGATAGCTAGGTTCTCTCACCTATAAGGAAAATAACTATGGATCCAAAACTGTTTTCCCAGTAGGGGCTTTGCCACTGATTCTACTTTGTAGAGCATTGTGACATCTGGGGGTGGATTTTCCCAACTTGGAAATTATCTGTATAACTGTATTTAAGTGTGGGATGCAGTAGGGGAGGGTAGTGGGTAATGGTACGTGGAGGGTATGGTATGTGCGGGTGTATGGTGTGTGTGTGGGGGGGTGTGCATCCAGGTACATGGTGAATGCTAAACTGTGCACCTGAGAGGAGTGAGATTAGAGGAGAGAAGGGGATCCTGCCAGTACCATGTGAACAACTCTTCAAAACTTGTGTTGCAGACTGTCCCCTAGTTCGATTCCCTCCAAAATCTCCCTGGAAACCTAAGGAGGTGAAGCCCATTGGGAGCATCACTGGGTTGTCTCTCGCCCACCCCTGGGATGCTCATAGCAGAGTGTGTTCGTGCAGCGTCACACTCATCTTTTTACGTCATTTCTGTTTCCACAGGGGGCTCATTGCCAATGACTTCATGGAGACCCATTATTTGCAAGATGGTACTGATGTCTCCTTCACGCGAAATTACACGGTAATTCCTGCATGCTGGGGCCAACCGGTAATTCCTGCATGCTGGGGCCAACCGATCTGTGTACACAGAATCTGTGCTGATACTTTGTAGCTGGTTTTCTTAGCTTTTTTTCTGAGCTAATTACATCTCCAGATTCTTAATTCAGGCAGCAAGAATCCCTGGAGACGCCAGGCTCACACCTCAAATTCCAGTTCTTAGAAAGCTGAGGAAGGAGGATCATTGAGGTTAGAGTCTAGTGTAGGCTATATAGTGAATTCCAGGACAGCCTGGGCTACCAAAGGAGACCTTCTCCCAAACAAAAACAAAAACGAATTTCTTAGAAAGCTTTTCAGCCAGATGTGGTGATGGTGACTTTTAATCCCAGCACTTTGGTAGACAGATGCACATGAGTCTGAGTTCGAGATCAGCCTGGTCCATATATCCAGGGCTGCATAGTTGAGTCTCTGCCTAAATGAGAAAAGAAGGAGGAAGAAAGGGAAGAAGAGGGGAAGGGGAGAAGGAGGAGAGGGAGAAGAGGAAGAAGAAGGGGAAAAGAGGAAGATGAACGATGAAAAGGTTGTTTTTGTTTACCAGAAAGCCTGACCAAGCTTAGAGGTGGGTTAGAAAGCCGTCCTGTCCTGCATCTCTGGGTTTTGCTGTGTTACACTTTGCAACATTGTAAAGAAACATAAAGGAAAAGTGACTGCCCTGGACCCACATCATAACATTGTATAATTTGTTCCTCTATTGAGCTACCACAATGTGACATTTGTCCACTCCTAGTCAGCTTTTCTAAAATTGAACTTTTAAATATTTAGGTGTGTATGTAGGAGAGGGGTCATGTGGTGGTCAGAGGAAAATTTATGGTAATCGGCTCTATTTTATCATTTGGATCCTGGGATTTGAACTCCTGTCATCAGACTTGGCAGAAAGCACTTTTGCCCACTGATCCATCTCAGGAGACTGATGTTTGAGCTTTTCTATGTAGTTTTGACCCATGTTCATTTGTGCTTCCCTTTGGCACACATTGTGCATCTGTGTGCACACAGCCATGTGTGTGGATTCCAAGAGCAGAGGACAAAGTCGATGCCCTATGGGGGAAGAATAGGTTCCCTGGTATAATGAACTATGTGCAAGTGAGTTTGTTTTTAAAAAGCAAGCCAGTAGAGTAGCCCTTTCCCCCCAAGACCCCTTCATTCTCTGTGTTAGGCCTCCAGCATTGTCCTCATACCATTTAGGAGTCGACACTTCATGATATGGGAACAACATTCTACCACAGCTCTCCCAATCCTGAGAAAACACAGAAATCCAAAACAAAATATAAGCACCTCCAAGTATTTTTGTGAAAATTTCAAGGTTAAAAATGATTCACAAAAATCAGTTCAAGGGTCATTAGCTGGGTATAGTGGCTCACACCTGTAATCCAAGCACTTGGAATACAAGAGAATGACAGCAAGTATAAGGTGAGCCTGGGCTATATAGTGAATTCCAGACTAGCCCAGGCTATAGTGAGACCCTCTCTAAAATTAACAAAATGGTATGTGGGGCTAGGGATAGCTAGAGCTTTGGTTATTAAGTTTGGATCATGTGACCCCCAAAGACTACCCAGGACACAGAGTGGGGAGCCAGAGAGAGAGGATGAGTGAATACAAATGAGAATGGGAATAAATATAAAAGCCAGGTGCTAGAGGCAGAGAAGAGACATTTGGATGTCTATGATTAGAAACTCCTAAGAGTTGGCATCCTTAAAAAACAGAAAAGAATTGTCTGCCATGTGTCATGAATTAAAAGATCTCTATCACACACGCCACACACACACACACACACACACACACGTGTCAGAGGCAACGGCAAGAAAACAATTGCACCAAGTAAATCTACTTAAAATAACAGCTGTAACAGGAGTGACCATGTTTGGATGTTCTCAAACAAAACAGAGAAATAGACTTGAAACAGTTTAAGTGTTTGTCTTGCACTGAAACTAATAGACGTGCTGATTAACTATGATAAGTAAAATAGGAGGCACCTGACCATTTTCAGAATAAATATCTAAAGACCAGAAAAACAGAGCTCATGCTTCCAAGTAAGAGGCTGTGTTTGGGGATCTTGTTTCAACCCAGTACAGGGCAGGATAAAGGGAAAGGATTGAAAAAGAAAGAGGGTGACAATAAAACAGAAAGGAATAAGATCAACATAAGATAACACACAAATCTCACTGTACATAAATAAGTCAAATAAACTTGTCAAGACCCGTACCCCCATATATAAAAAAGGAAAGAATAAAGCAAAAGTGGGCAGATAAAACTGAATCAATTACTCAGTCAATAAGTAAAGCTGCTGTAGTTGTACTGACATCAGACCAGCTAGTGAAATAGAGAGAGAGGAAGGAGGAAGAGAGAGAGGTATTAGTGACAAGGCAGTCATTATATAATGATAAAAGGAATGTGTCAAATGAATGGTGCAAGCCTGTGGGATAGCTCCACTGAGTAAGGGGCTCTGTGGCCAAGATGAATGACGTCATTTTGATCCATAAAGCCATAGGCTAGGAGAACTGCTTCCCTCAACAGACCTCTCCTCTACATACATGTGGTACATGTTCCTGTGTACATCACACACATGCATACACGCACACACACCACAGATGTACCACACACACACACACACACATACACACACACACACCAGTTTACCTGAAATCTGTCTACTTGAAGAAAATAAAACATTAACAAAATGAGAGAGAGAAAATATTGAAGATACAATTTTTCAATCACAGTAAAGCTATGAACAGTCCCAACCATTATCTTAAAAATGCATATTCTTGGGAACTAGAGAGGTGCTCAGTGGCCAAGAGTGGATGTTGCTCTTGCAGAGGAACCAGGTTCTATCCCCATTACCCATACAATGACTAACAAACATCTGTAACTCCAGTGTGGGGGCTCTGACGCCCCCTTCTCACCCTACAGGCATCACATGCATCATATGCACAGACGTACGTACAAGCAAAACACACATAAAAGAACTAAAAATGAAAATACAAATTATTAGCATTAGTTAAGGTAAAAGAAAAATTAAAATGTATGCAGAAATCAAATCAAGAATGGTACTTTTTAGCTGGGCATAGTGGTACATGTCAGTAATCCCAGAATTGTGGTGAAATTTCTAGGCTAGACTAGGCCACATAGAATTCAGCCTGGGGTACATGAGACCCTGTCTCAAAGCAACCAAGACAAAATTATAATGCTTTTAAAAATCTACCCATAAAAGTGGCATCAGGCCCAAATGGTTTTGACAAGTGAGTTCTGCCATACCTATAAGGGATAAACAGTCTTGAGAATATTAGACAATTTGGACAAGAAGTGTTACCTAACTATGAAAAAGGCACTTTGTGCAGTGTGTCTCATGGGCTAGTGTTTATTAGGAACACCAGTGTAAATATCCTAGTTAAGCTACCTCTAAATCCTACCTAGCACACAGTTTTCAACCCCCTTTTGAGGAATGCAAGGATAGCTTGTAGCTTATTACATCAGTAGATTCAGATTAAGAGTACTATGTTTCTTTCCTCCTGGAGTCTCTATTCTCTCTATTAATAATGTTGTAACAGCTCGAATGGGTGGGAATGTTTCTGATAGTCCTTCCTGCTCCCATAGAACCTTAGGTGCCCTCTTGTTCTCAGCAGTTATGACTGACCTGATCAATACAGTGTCTCCATCCACAAGCCACTCAGCCTCCCATTCATTGGCTTAGGGTTGAATAAAATACGTTCAATAGCACACAAGCACTACCCGTTGCTATATTAGTTTAACTGGCAGATTTAGACTAAAACATGCTAGCAAGTTTTATTTACCAGATTTACCTCCACAAATTAGACTAAAAAGCTGGGGAATTTAAAAATAAAAATACATTCAAATGAGACTTTGGATGTATTTGTTACAATAAAGGATATGTACAAACACTATCTAATATTAGCTTTTGAAGGCTGGTTCAGTAAGGGGAGAGATTTGATGTCTCCACAGAAGTGTTCAGGCCAGCAGGGGTGTGTGAATGCTTTAGTAATGAAGAGTTGTGGACTTGGGCATTGAAAGCTTGGGAGTCACAGAAGGTGTGCATGGTCCAGGCCCGTGCCTTCCAAAGGGACTTGGAGATACAATAAGAAATACTGGTGGATGGAAAACAAGACCTGCTCAGGGTAGGGGATTGCCACTGATGGAGGTTTTGCTGATAGAAACTGGCATGCAATGGAGAAAGGGACAGATAATGGGGGAGCCAAAGGATATTTGGTGAGGGGGATTCTGTCGAATGGGGCTTTCCTTCTCACATGGTCACTGGCAGACAGTGGAGTCCTCCAGTAACTGGTTAGAAGGAAGAGGCAGAAAGAACAAGCCCCAAGTTTGTCTACATTGTATCTGAATGGGGGCAGCAGGCAAAGGAGTCTGTGAACACCTGAACATAGGTGCATACAACAGGAAAAAGATCAGAGATAGGGCCTGTGGGTTAGCCTGGTTAGCCTCATATAGAAGCTTGGTGCTTGTGTTTGCAGTGAGCTAGCTAAGTCTACCACTTATATGTCAGTCTGTCTGTCTATCTTATTTAAAATATGTTTTCAGACATACCCCTGAGCTGTTTCCACAATGTAAATTCTTATCACAAAAGAGAAACAGCAAAAGAGGGCCCTAGAGAGGCTGGTCCTCCAGCTTCACAATGATGAAGGATGCTCTTCCACATTTATTGATCTAAGATATGTAGGGTGCATGTCCAGTTATGACTTTATGCTCTATTTCCATCTCTCTTACCAGTCCCCCCTCAGACATGCACACTAGGAAGGAAGAATAGGTAAGAGTAAGAAAAATGTACAAATTTGAGACCATGTACTAGAGGGTCCAACAGCTACCAGTTCTGGCATGGACTTGGACCACAAAGCTAATGGCTACAAACCCAGACCTCCTAGAAAATAGCTGGGGTGGAAGGTCCTAGACCTTTAAGAGCCATCACCTCCATGGGCCTCTGCTTCTCTGCATTTCTAT